AGCTGCCATCCTGTGATGTACTACAATTCCCACCACCCATTAAGCTGCTGTTCTGCAATTATGGCCCCAGGCCTTACCACATCAAGGAGCAGCAGATCAGCCCTCAACATACCACCAGAAGAGGACAGCAGAGAGCCTGCAAGGCACTACAATCCCCACTGCACCACTAGCTGCTAGTCAGCAAGATGGAATTCCCGCCATCCTTCTGACTGCATCCTGCAAGGCACTTCAACTCCCACCACTGCTCCAGATGCTATCCTGCAGGGTGCTACAATTCTCACCCCCCTCCAGCTGTGGCCAGCAGGGTACTACAACACTCACCACCCCTTACATTTCCTGCCAGAAAACTACAACTCCCACCACCACTCTAGTTGCGGTCCTAGAAGGTGTTATAACTCCCACCACCCATCCAGCTGCAGCCATCAAGGTCCTACGACTTCCATTGTCTATTAATGTGGCCCCCATGAGACTACAACTCGCAGCCCTCGGGGGACTATAACCCCCACCACACCATCAGCCAGTATGATGTGACTTGAGGTCCCCCAACAGCCGAGACTGCACGGTGACCTACGCTAGACAGATCACAATTCGTATCTGCAGAGCTGCACAGAAGATCAATCCGGAAACCCACAAAATGACATTCTGCGAATGGTGAGCTGTTGAGGTCGGCGTTATCTGAGACTTCCATGGTAGCTGCAGCACAGGCCGGTTGTCTGTAGCCGGTTGTCTGTAGCCGGTTGTCTGTAGCCGGTTGTCTGTCTTTTTAGTGAAGGCAATATTGATAGATCGCATGATGAGATGTAAACTGATTGTATAGAAGGGCCAGGGGCAGTGTAAACTGCATATAAAATTATATTAAACACTGTTTAGCAAACATGGCCCCAAATGTGTTTTTGCAGCGCAGGAGTTCACATAGATGGCCAGGGGGGCGAGAGTAATGAGCAAAACACACACGACTATTCTCCCACCGAGTCTGCAGACAGACATGAAGCCACCAATCCCACCCCTGTGATTACAGCGCATGGCTGCTGGCTCGTAGATCGCTAGCTCTGCTGCCAAATCAGACCAATGGCTTCTGTCCAATGCACATTGAACGTTGTCTCTAAAGCTGACCAAACGCATCGCAATCTTCTTCATACCTACAATGTGTAGTACAGGAGCCCCCACCAACCTCCCCTCGGGGGGGATTGTTTCTGCTACATAGATGGGCAGATCAGAGAGGAAAGATTCGGATTGCGATGTCTGTGACCTAAAAACCTAGAACTCGTATTTCAGGGTTGTGTGGAAGTTGTTGGACCTGCTGACTCCGAATTCTGAGCTCCACCCAACTACAGTCCGCATGAATCCATCCCTGACATGTCCCAATATACAGCAGCAGAAATCATTATAAATCGTCCTTCCCCTCCAGTTGGTGACTCTACCTAGGCTGAGATGATGTCATCAGTCTGCTGCAGGCAGAAGGAAGCATTTCCTCATTCTCCCCCCAGTGATCAGTTTGCTGCAGGCAGGAGAAAGCATTGCCTCAGTCTCCCATACCCCGTGATCGGTCTGCTGCAGGCAGGAGGAAGCATTGCCTCAGTCTCCCCTCCCCCAGTGACCAGACTGCAGCAGGAAGGAGGAAGCATTCCCTCAGTCTCCCCCAGTCATCAGCCTGCTACAGGCAGGAAGAATCATTTCCTTAGTCTCCCCTCCCCCAGTGATCAGTCCAGGAAGTAGATGGTGACTGTGGATGATGCCTGAACAAAGATCAGTCTGCTGCAGGCAGGAGGAAGCATTTCCTCAGGCTGCCCCTCCCCCCAGTAAACAGTCTGCAGCATTGTAACTTTGTAGCAAATCACAAGGTGAGAGGCTGCAGCTGATCCGTGTCAGACATTTGTGAACACAGCCAAGAACTGCAGACACCAGGATTTACATGACTGTGTCCTCTCCGAGCCGGCATCTCAGTCCAGTAGGTGGATAGTGACCCTGGATGATGCATTGAGCAAAGATGGTGCCGTCCTTTTGGAGAAAAAAGCAGATGAAGGCATTGTCAGGAGGAGGAATGTGACCTCTGTGAGAGGTGATAAGAACCTGGAGGGGTCACACTGACACATTACTTGGCCTGCATAGATGTATTGTGAAATCTCATGACAGGTGCAGAGCCAATTAGAATCCACTTCACCTGCGTCTGTCCAGTACAAGATGAATTCTGGTTGGTTGGTTGCAGCTAAGAACTGGAAGTTGTTGTTGATGATAAAAAATACAAATAAAATGTAATAGTTATTATTATTGGTATTTATGACACGTGAGATTTAGGACTGGATCATGTGATCGGCGTTGCACCTTTAGGACTGGATCATGTGATCGCCGTTGCACCTTTTAGGACTGGATCATGTGATCGCCGTTGCACCTTTAGGACTGGATCATGTGATCGCCGTTGCACCTTTAGGACTGGATCATGTGATCGCCGTTGCACCTTTTAGGACTGGATCATGTGATCGGCGTTGCAACTTTTAGGACTGGATCATGTGATCGGCGCTGCACCTTTAGGACTGGATCACGTGATCGCCGTTGCACCTTTTAGGACTGGATCACGTGATCGCCGTTGCACCTTTTAGGACTGGATCACGTGATAGCCGTTGCACCTTTTAGGACTGGATCATGTGATCGCCGTTGCACCTTTTAGGACTGGATCATGTGATCGCCGTTGCACCTTTAGGACTGGATCACGGGTTCGCCGTTGCACCTTTTTGGAAG